AGACCTTTGCTGGCTCACAGGGTTACAGGGGCTGGAAAATTTAAAATCTGTAGATGAGGCAGCAGGCTAGAGACTTCTGCAAGCTTATGTCCCAAGAACCAGAGATCAGGTGACAAGAAGAGTGCAGGGTTAAGAGACAGAGCGAGCTTTGCCAGAGCATCCATTTATATATTGGAGGCAGGCCACATCCCCAAGGAAACTCCCCTTTCAGCTGGTTGGTTGCTCACATCAGATCACAAAATGGAACGTGATTACATTACATTACGGAACAGTACCTAGTCCAGTGTCTGCCAAACCACTGAGAATCATAGTCCAGCCAAGGTGACACCTAACATTAACCATTACACCAGTTTTAAATATAAGAGCATTTAACTTATATATGGAATCATTGAAATTGCACAATTCATTTTTTGTAGCTCCTACAGGCATATGTATTTCATTCTTACCAGAACAGCAGAGACACTGCATGAAATTAATTCAACTACTTTTATTTCTCTTTTTGACACGTACACATTCCACCAACACTCTACCTTTGGCTTACAGGTAAGGAAGGGCTGAAAAGAAAAGGATCTATAAGTGACCCAGTCTGCCCCTTCCATTCCATATCATCATTTTCAGCCTCTGTGATCGGTAATACAGGAAAATAACAAATAAGAAAGGATACGAGACGTTTCCTCGGTTGTTCATGTTTCTTAGAATGTCACTGCCTTCTTTTTGTGTTTGAAGCAAGTTCTGGTTTGAACTGAAATCATGCCCTTTGGGGATGTCAGTGCCCCTGGTTACTGAGTCATAGAGGTAACACGCTTACTTTGTACTCGCTTTGAGTCTCACTGAACTTCCATGAATCACAGGTCTACCGGAATTGTGTATTCGTGGGACGCTGTGAACACAACATGCAAATTGGGTGGTAAGGAAAGTAGGTGGGTGCACATATTGTACATATCGCCTTTGCTTAGGTGCATGCTCCATTGTCCCATCAAGCTAACTTACAAAGAACAAGTTCAAAGATAAAATTGTTAAGAATTTCAAGATGGCAATTGTTGTAGTTGTTGTGTGCCATCGATTCTGACTCATAGTGACCCCATGTGACAGAGTAGAACTGCCCCATGGGATTTTCTAGGCTGTAATCATGGAGGGAGCAGATTGCTAGGTCTTTCTCTTGTAGAGCCGCTGGGAGGGTTCAAACTGCCAACCTTTTGGTTAGCAGCTAAGCCCTTAACCGTTGCACCACTAGGGTTCCTACGATGTCAACAGCAGAGCATTAAAGCTCGGTTTAAACATGGTGCCCCTCTGAGTGTGACTGCAGAGGTCACAAGCTCATGAAGCTGGCCCAGGACTGGCTTGCTTGGTTTTGTTTGTTTGTTTGTTTTTTAATGGGTAAATCAAGGAAGCTCTGAATCCTGCATGATTAAGGCTAGCTTAGGATCAGGAACACTGAAAATACAACCTAGAAAATAATTCATATTTAAAATTAATTGTAGGCATTTTGTTGCGGAGTCAAAATTTTGGTTAGTATGAGTATCAGATAGAAATAAACAAATAAAAACCTCTTGAAAAAGATGTCAGTGATAAAAACAGCTACTTCCTCTGGATCAATTTCCAAGATATACCTATGTACATGTGTCTTGTTGTGTGCCGTTGCATTGGTTCAGACTCATAGTGACTCTGTAGGTTTACACACAAAAAGAAATAATCTTTGATGGTTATGAGGGAGGGGAAGGGTGGGGGAAACACTAAACAGACAATAGATAAGTGGTAACTTTGGTGAAGGGTAAGACAGTACACGATACTGGGGAAGGCAGCACAACTTGTACAAGGGAAGGTCATGGAAACTCCATAAACACATCCAAACTCCCTGAGGGACCGAATAGCTGGACTGAGGGTTATGGGGACCATGGTCTAGGGGAACATCTAGCTCAATTGGCATAACATAGTTTATAAAGAAAATGTTCTACATTCTACCTTGGTGAGTA